TCCTGTCTTTTCTGACATCACCCCTGATGTAACCTTTAAAGGCAACCCCCCCTCCGCCCCCCGCCTTTATCAAGCAGAAACACGTGTTGTAACGCAGCGCAGAGGTGCGGTGGGCCCGCTGGGCCTGGCCCGCTCCTTTCCCCGTGCAGATGCTTATGCCGTGAGGAGTGGCGGAACGCACCCTGGCTGCCCTGACTCAGGAGGGCCCTTCCTTGTGCCCTGCTCCTGGAGGCCCTGGCCTGTCTCCCACCCTCGCCCCGGGGCCTGATCTCCTGGGGTCTGCCTTGCCCGGGCTTCGGGAGGGGGCCGCAGTCACTTCCTGAACTTGGACGTCACCGTGACCCCCCAGCCGTGTGTGAACTGGGGGTTTGAAGCTTGAGGGGAGCTTTGCTCGAGGGTGCTTGCTTGGGATGTGGTGTGTCACCGTGCCTGCGCCTGGTGTGTGCAGAGAGCAGGACGTGGGCACAGGGGAACACCCTGTCCTGTCGTCTCTGCCGAGACCACCTCCCCTTCCCCGCTCGTAGGGAGCCACTCAGCTTACTATTCTCGAGAGCTGACCCCACGTTTATTTCATTAGAAGGGTCACTCCTAACTATAGATCGTTACTCAGTGGCCTATCAGACGATGCACTCGAGAAAGTTCTCTAGTTTTGGGTCTGAAATGCCAGAATGGACAGATGAGGCCCAATATTTGTTCAGTCTTTCAAAAGTATTTTCACAGTGGAATGAAAAGAACTCCCAGGATGGAGCGCTCACAGCTGGGAAAACAGTTGCTGCTTTGAAGACGGTTTTCCCAGGCACAGGGCTCACGTCTCCCGCTGCGAGGGGCAGAGACGGCGTCTGGTGTCAGCGGAGGGCTCCTGGCTGAGGCCGGCCAGTCTGAGCTGGGCCGCCCCCGGGGAGCGCGCCTGGAGGAGCTTGGAGGAGCTCGTCCCTTAGATGCACACCTGAGTAGGGGGACGCACCTGCATGCCCACAGGCCCCGGTCTCCAGGTGTCAACCCACTGAGTTTCTGTTCAGAAGCCACATGTTAGAAGACAAGTGGGGTTGAGGGGTGGTTCCCCGGTGACCACCGGGTTTGGCTCTGCCTTTGAGCCCCAAGCCTCTGCTGGCCCGGCAGTGCCCTGCTCATTCTTCAGGGCTGAGCACGGTGGCCACCACAGCCGGACACCTCCACCCAGCAGCCCTCCTGGCCTGGAAGTGCAAGGCGGCTGGAGCCAGGCCCCACCTGGTGTGAGGCAGGGGCGGAAGTGCGTGATGGGTGTACCTGGGTCTGGGGTGCGTGTCTCGGTGCCAGGACCCAGGGCTCAGCATGCAGGACACAGACTGAGGCTTACGGACAGGTGTGTGTCAGGGTACAGGCCCACTGCTGTGACACAGAGCCCCCAGAATACAGAGCCTTAAATAGAAGGGGATCTCACAGCAGCGGTGCCAGCTCCAGGCCACCAGCAGTGGCATCCTGGCCCTGTTCGGGACCGGCTCCCCTGGCCTCTCAGGCTGGAAGGTTGTGCCTTTTGACATCTTCATCTGGTTCTCTCTCCCCCGCCCCAGCCCCCGGCCACTGTTTTTTTTTAAAGATTTTTTTGTTGGGGACCACTTTATATTTAGGTCTTTATTGGATTTGTTACAGTGGTGCTTATGCTTCTGTTTTTTTGGCCACGAGGCATGCGGGGTGATAGTTCCCCAACCAGGGATCGAACCTGAACCCCCGCCCCCATCGGGAGCACAGAGTCTTAACCACTGGATGGCCAGGGAAGTCTCCTTCCGCTTCCCACCACTGCTTTTAGAAAACCATTCATGGGCATTTCCCAGCCAGACCCGGGTTGGCGAGGACCCTGGTGGATCCCACTCCATTACTCCCCTCCCCTCCCTCAGGCTTCCCAGGAAATTGGTCTGGAAGGCCTGTACTTCCCGATGTTCCCTGTTTTTGAGGGGCTGATTTCTGCAGGTGTTGCCCGAGGCAGCGGTTGCCGGGTTGTGTGGCGGGGTGACGAACGGCGGGGTGACGGCCTCCTGGACGACCTCGCTGACCCCTTCAGCCGTGTGGGCACTCGACCCTCCTGCTGGCTCCGCGGATAAGTAGGCTCAGCGGGGTGGCGGCGCGGGGGTGGAACCTCTGCGTGGAGACTGGCTGCCGTGGCCTGCCTCCTGTCTGCGTGGCTTACACTGCTGAGTCAGCAGAGAAGACTGTCGCGTCCGCTGCAGAGGGAGTGTGTCTGGGCGGCTGTGGGGGCTGGTCGTGCCCCCTGGGAGAGCCCAAGGCTCCTGGGGGCGGAGCCCACATGCGCCCTGGGTGGCAGCACCGCCGGCGACAGAGGGCCTGGGGACCCGTCCCTGCACAGACGGGGACGGCGCCCTTGCAGTGACTGGACTCTCTCCAGGACTCCCTGCAGCTGACTTCTTGTGATAAGTTTTAGAGTGACTTCACCCACTGACGAGGCTTAGAGTTGCAGTCAGGGTTCGGTCCACTTTTGTTCTATGTTTCTTTGGCCTGTGAAACCCTTGCTCCCGGATGAGATCCCCACCCTCTGAACAATGGCAAACTCCAGACCCACTCAGAGCAGCTGGCTTTCTGACACCACTTAGCTGGGTGTTGCAGGTGAGGTTGTGGTGGGGCCCACGGACGCAGGCCCCCCCTGGTGGAAGGGCCTTTCCTGGGCTCTCCAGCTGCGTGGAGCCACGCTGGCCTCGGCGCTGCTGTCGAGGTGCCGGCGCAGGTCCTGCTCTGATGGCTGGTGCCCCTGCTTCCTTGAGACACCCTTCTCCATCTTCTGACCCCACAGCCCTTGCCTGCAGGCTTGCTGGTGGGTGCAGGCTTTAGAGCATGCCACAGGGCACGGTGGGCTGAGGGGCTCACATGCCCTTGACCCAGAGGCTGGTGGGCACTCGGTGGGGAGCGGGGCTGGGCCGGCAACTCTGCCTTCCTCCTGCCCCCCACTGTCCTTGATGCGGTGTTCAGAGGCCTTAGAGACCTGAGCAGAGGCACTCCTGTGCACCTGCCACACCCATCAGGTGCCCACACACAGCACGCGCATGCACGCCACACCCATCAGGTGCCCACACACAGCACGCGCATGCACGCCCCACCCATCAGGTGCCCACACACAGCACACGCATGCACGCCACACCCATCAGATGCCCACACCCACATGCACACATACACACACTCCACATCACACACCCCGGCTGACGCACCCAGCACGCACACCACACCACACACACCGTGCTCACACCCAGCACGCACACCACACCACACGCCCCAAGCTCATTGCTGCCACAGATGCTGGGCCAAAGTCCAGCCCCAGTTCCCACCCCCGTGTCTGCTTCTGCCATGGCAGCTCTGCCTTGGGAATCAGCGCTTCACTAATGTGCTCGATTCCTGACGGTTGAGGATCATCTCAGGGATGTTTCCCCCACACCATGGGGCAAAGGGCCAGCCAGGAGGTGGCTGAGGCCCCAGCCTTCCCGCCGATGGGGTGGGTGCACAGCCCAGGTTCTACTGACGTGAGTGCTGCCCTCCCACCACAGGGGCGCGGGCCTGGCTGGGGGCAGGTCACAGAGCCCCCAGGCCTCTGGGAGGTCACGCCTGGTGCTGAGCAGGCCTCTGTGCCAGCCACTCCCCACTGCTGGGCTCCTGGCAGGCCGTGAGGAGCCTTACTGCCTGGGAGGGCGGGGGTGCCAGGAAACAGCAAAGCCATCGAACGCCTTGATTATATCTGTGCCTGTCCTGCCAGAATGGTTAAATCAGCCTCCGCTGTCAGACAAACACTCTGAGAAGGGCGGGTGTGAGCTCCAGGCCTGGACCCTGTGGGGGCAGATTGTGGCTCTGCCTTCGGACTGGGTGCCAGGCTATCGCATGAAAGGGGCTTGAGAGCACTGGGTCTGGGAAGAGCCCTGTGGTTAAGTCGGGGCCTCTGCCTGTACCTGCCCTTCAGACTCGGGGCTGCCCGCACACGTCCTGGGTTTGCCAGAGGGCCCGGGACAGGCCTGGTTCTCTAACACGCTGTCTCCCTGCCCCTGCCCACCACCACCCCCCCCAGCCGGGACAAGAGTAAGTGAGTACCCCGTGCCGGGGTTCCTCCTGTGACGGGGACTTGCCAGGGTCAGGGGGCTCGATAAGAGCACTCACCTCCTCCGATGGGCTTTCACGGGGGAAGCGAGCCTTGGTGGGGCCTGAGTCACTGGAGACACCTGGTGAATGCAGGTATTTGCTTGGGACAAAGACTCTTTGGAGGTTTGCACCATGAAGAACTGTTAAAACTAAAACTGGCTCATCTAATGTCACCTAAACATTTTCCAGGGTTTGTCACCTAAACGTCTAGCATTCTCCTGGGAAGGCCCCTCCAAGAAGCTTATCCCGGTGCCCACCCAGAGTGTGCAACGTGCGTGGGGCGCCCTCCACATTCTGGGAGCATCCAGGGCTCAGACAGCGTCGTCTGGCCAGGGAGGTGGCCTCCTGACCTGGGGTGTTTCTCTAGTGAGGAAGGGGTGGCTCTGCGGCCGATGCTGAGTGCCCCCCTCTCCCGCAGGAAAGCACTTAGATGGAGAATTCAGAGGCGTTGGCAACAGTTTTATTGACAAAAGGCTGAACAGCCCTGGACTTGTTAGGTTTCTTTCTTGGACAGAGTCTACGCCGTCACTGTCACCACTGTGTTTCAGAGGCAGGTTCTTCACACGCCTGCCGCGGCCCACCCTTCAGGAGGTGCCCCCAGGTGTGGAGGGAGGCGCGGGGGCCTGGTGCACACCCGCCGTGGAGCGCGCCCCACGCCCCCAGGTCACGTCAGCCTGCGCCTTCCGTCCCTGAGATGGCGGGTTCACAGCAAGTCCGCCTGGAAACAAGGCTGCCTCATCCTGGTGCTCTCCTTTCTGCTCTCCTTGGGGGCTTCAGAAGCGTCTGTCCCGGGCCCAGCATGTGCCGGAGGCAGGGGGCAGTTCTGTGGGAGCGGCCGGCGGACAGACGCCCCAGGGCCGCGCGGGGCGCACCGTCCCCCGCTGCGGCCCCTACACGGTGCTGCTGAGCTTCACCTCGGCCTGCTCCGCGCTGTCCGGGACCACGGCCTTCAGGGCCGCGTGGCAGAGGCGGTTCAGGGCTGACAGGCCGGTTTTCTGCTCCAGGTAGAGCCGCAGCTTGTCGCGGAAGGTCTCCCCGAGGAAGCTGTAGATGAGCGGGTTGAGGCAGCTGTTGGAGAAGGCGGCCAGGTTGACCACGTGGCCGGCCAGCGGGTGGGCGTGGCGGGGGGAGCGCTGGCAGGGCGCAGCCCCCGGCGGCGCGCGCTGCAACAGGTGCACGCTGATGAAGACGTTCTCGGGCAGCCAGCACACGAAGAAGACCAGCACCACGGCCAGGATCATGCGCAGTGCCTTCTGCCTCCGCGGGCGCAGGCCGCGGTGCCGGTGCGCGCTCACCAGCACGCGCACGATGAGCGCGTAGCAGAGGCCGATGACGGCGAAGGGCAGCACGAAGCCCAGCGTGACCTCCAGCCACTGCACCTCCCGGACGTCGGCGAAGCAGAAGCACGCGTCCTCGCTGCGCTGCAGGTGGGCGGCCGTGAAGGGCGCCGGCGTGGCGGACACGGAGGCCATCCAGATGAGGCCGCAGCTCAGCCGCGCACAGGGCTTCGTGCGGAACGGGCCGCAGCGCACAGCCTTGGCCAGGGCCAGGTAGCGGTCGAAGCTCATTCAGGTGAGGAAGAAGACGCTGCTGTACATGTTGACCTGCAGGAAGAGCGACATGAAGGTGCATAGCGCAGCGATGTCGTAGTACTGCTCGTCCAGGTTGAACACTTCGATGAGCGAGTCCGCCACCAGGATGAGGTCCGCGGCCGCCAGGTTGATGAAGTACAGGTCGGGGATGGTCATCTTCTCCCGGAAGCGGATGTTCACCACCAGGATGAGCAGGTTGCCCACGAAGCCGATGGGGAAGAGGAAGATGGTGTACAGGCAGGACAGGAAGAGCCCGATGGCGTACTGCTGCCGCTCCGAGAGTGCCGCGGAGCCGTTGGCCAGCGTGCGCGGCAGCTCCAGCCCCCCGGCCGTGTCGTTGTAGGCGCCCGGCGGCAGCTCCATGCCGAGCCAGGGACGCCGGGAGTGGCCGGGCTCTCAGGATGCGCTGCGTGGCTCCCGGAAGCCCGTGCAGAGCAGGAAACGCATCTTGAGAAAGAGAGGTGGCGCTCCTGGAAGTGAGCCAGGCGTCGGTGAGGCCAGAGCAGGTCTCCCTCGGGCGCCTGTGCAGCCGGATGCTGCAGTCCGTGTCCGCGCTGAGCCTGCGCGCTCACTCCNGCCTGGGGTATCTGGGTGTCCTGGGCTGGGGGTGGGGTGGGGGGGCAAGCAGCCAGGCAGCGGGGCAGGAGGGAGGAGCCCTAGCAACCTGGCCTGGAGAGTTTCCGCTTCACCTGCAAGATGGTTGGGAATCGTTTCCAAAGTGTTGCCAAAGCAACAGACACTTCCTGAGCGAGCGCTTGAAAACACCGTTAAAAACAAGAAAAGGAAAGAGAGAAATCAGGACCCTGGTGTCAGTTATTTTAAAAAACTCAGTAACCTCTGCTTCTGGGGTTGATAAACTGGATCTTACTGCTGGTTCTGTGTTCTCTTGTCGTCTTTGGTCGGTAATCCCAATTTGAACCAGATAAACGCCATTGTTCTCGGATCCCATCTGTAATATTTAAAGCCTCTGTTTTTAAGTTTCTCTGTAAAAGCTGCTTAGAGTATTTGCTTTGCTCTTAATGTGGGAATTTTGGAAAGCTTTGCGCTGATTCTCCAGAAGTTCCAGGCCAGCAGAGCCTTGGTACACCCGCACTCCCGCGTGCTCTCCCGCCCTTGACTATCGCTGCTGTTTCTGTGCCGGTCTTGAGGAAAGACAGGCGTGAGGCAGTTGCTGACACACTTTCCTCATGAAGCCTGGCCATGAATTTACAGATAAAAAGGTGAGTGTTAAACAGTGGGGCCTTGTCTTGTTTCAGATTGCCACCACTTGTCCAGATCTAAAAAAATGAGCCACGTTCTTGTGAGATCTGTTGTGCTGAGTCGCTCAGTCGTGGCTGACTCTTTGCAACCCCATGGACTGTAGCCCGCCAGACTCCTCTGTTCATGGGATTTTTCAGGCAAGAACACTGGAGTGGGCTGCCATTTCCTTTTCCAGGGAGATCTATTAGCTATGTATTCTACGTATTAAAGTAACCTCAGGCTGGTGGGCATCCTCACTGAAGGAGAAAGGAAAGTGCCGGCCGTCAGAGGACAAAAACCGTTCACCATCCCCCCTGTCCTATGATACAAAAGAACCTTCCTGCTGAGCCTCCGTATTGAAGGCCTGGGGGCAGGGGGGGCCCCGGATTGTCCACATTGGCCTGGCTGCTGTTCACCACCCCAGGCAGCCCGCCCAACCCAGCCGCCTGGCCCCTTTCCATCCCGGTGCCTGGGACCCCCTTACCTGTGCCGCCTCTGGCCACCCGACGTGTGTTGCTCTGAGCAGACCTGTCCTGTCCCGGGGAGCGGGGCTCAGCCAGCCTCCCGATGTGTCCCTGCTGGGGAACAGCAGTTGACTCTGGACTTGGGGTGGAATCAGGACCTTCGCAGGACTCCAGAGAGGAGTGGGGAGGGGCAGGAAGCCGCGGCACCCAGCCCTCGGCCAGCCCGCCCGCCTGCTCTGTCCAGGCCTGCCCCTGGCGGCCGCAGGCTTTATAGGCTGCCTGCGACCTCCCGCGAGTCTGGCGTAACCCCTTTGGTGCCGGTCTTTTTCTCACCCTGCGGCACTGAGCTGGGTCTCCCCAGGCATCTTCCTGGAAGTTTACAGTTGACTGGCTTTTCTTCATCTGCTGATACAAACTTTTCTTTTTAACTTTGAAGGGACTGTAAGTGGGTCTTGTTTATCTTTCAGAGAATATTATTCTTTGTCAAAGCTTATGTATTATTTCTTGTTTTATCAAGAGACTGCCTTTAAGACTAACCACTAAATTTCCTAAGTTTAGAGAGTAGTGTGTGAATTATGCATAGAGAATTTAACCTACGAACCTCACAAGACACTTGTAGACAAAAATGCAAACCCGCGAGTAGTGGGCAGGCAAGTGAATTCCAGGCTGGGTAGCGTTTCCTACTGGAGAGGAGCCAGCCCAGCCCACCCCCGCCCCAAGCCTGCTCCCGAAGCCCCTGGAGGGCTAGTTCTGCAGCTGCTGCGGAAGACCCCTCTTCCTGCCACGAATCTCCCGCGCGACCTGTCCCAGTGCCGACCGAGCATGTGCTCCACCTGCCGGCAGCTGGGAGAGGCTGGCCGAGCTGCCCCCGCGTCTGCAGGCGTGAGTTCTGTGCTTCTCAGCAACAGTGCATTTTAACCCATCTCATATCTTCCTCTTGGTGTCGTCTTTTTTTTTTTTTTTAACCTTTTGGGTTTTTTTGAAGCTGTGAGACTGAAGTCTGAGTGGTCTTTGGATGACAGGCAAATGAGGCAGACTGCTGCAGTGTGAGCCCTGGGGTGGTGTGCATGCTTCCCGCAATCGGAGGGCTGCTGACAGGCGGGACTGTGGATGCGGGTGGGTCCCCAGCCCCACGCCACGTGCTGCATCCTGGAGTGAGCTCCAAGGTGTTGGAGTGATGCTGACGTGACATCCTTCAGGTGTATGTTTTAGGAGAGGTTCCTATTTCAGCGGCTTCCCAGGTGGCACTAATGGTGAAGAACCCGCCTGCCAATACAGTAGATGTGGGTTCGATTCCTGGGTCGGGAAGATCCCCTGAAGGAGGGCATGGTGACCCACTCCAGTGTTCTAGGCTGGAGAATCTCGTGGACAGAGGAGCCTGGCGGGCTATAATCCACGGGTCACAGAGTCAGACATGACAAGCAACTTAGCAGGCACGCACCTATTTTCAGCAGAATACTGTGTTGAATTTTTTATGGAAAAATCCTGATATTCAGGGTTCGTTCCCAGCTGTGCTTCTGATAGGTTCACCTTCTAAAGGATGGCCCAATAACATAAATGGGGTTGATTTGATCTTAGACCTATTTTTGGCCAGCTGCACACAGGATGGTTTCTGCACTAGGAATACTGGAGACGCCATCTTGAGAGAAATGAGTCATGAGAAAGTACAATTTACTCTCGAGTTAAATAAATAAAGCACAAATTCAGGCCCTGAAATAGCCGAGCCGCGTCACTGCCGCACGGCCGCTCCCTCCTGGCGGGAACACAGCCTTCAGCCCCCGCTTCACGACCTGAGCACAACACCCCGTGTGTCCTGAGTTCAGGGGTCCATGGGCCAGGGTTCCGGGCTCACCGTCGGGACAGAGCTGGGGCTGCCGGGCCACAGCTGGGGCTGCCGGGCCACAGACCCCCTGTTCCTGTGCCCGCAAATGGGTAGGCGTCTCCCCTCCTGCTGCTGCCGAGTATGAGGGCCCGGCCCCGCGTCGTCAGGCCGTCGAGCCCCATCGGTATTCCTGCGCGCAGGCCTCCTGTGAGGCGTGGGGAGCGTCTGTAACCGGGAACACCCAGCCTTGAGCGGGCGCTTCCGTGGCGCTCGCTGCGCCACCGACCCGCTGCGCCGGGGGCAGAGCTGCACGGTCGAGCGCGCCCGTGGATGGGATGCTGTGCGCGCGCTGCGTGGGGGAGGGCCGGGCTGCCCGAGTTAGGGAGGCCTCTGGGCCCCACCCGGTTCTCGGGGTGACTGGGTGGGCCTGGGAAGTGATGAGTCCGTTAAGATTCAGGCCAGGTGGCACCAGAGCAGGGTGAGTACAGGGACCCCGGCCTCCACCAGCATCCTCTCCACCCCGCCCCGCCCCCCGTGCTGATGGACTGACGGACGGACAAGTGCCTTTGAGTCCCACCCTGCCGCGGGTGCGCCAGGGCGGGGTCCCCGGAAGGTTTCCAGGGTGGCGTTCCAGCGTCACGATTTCCAGCCCGATCGAACCCTGCTGTTCTCACCCGGGCGTCTGCCTTTGGGGACTGACAGCCGCAACGTGAGTGGTTTCGGGGCCGAGTGTCACCGCCTTTGCACCCAGAGAAATTCTGACCCTTGCGGCCTCTCTTCGGGGTGGGCGCTCTGCTCTCCTGGAGGAAGACTTTAAATAACTGCGCAGGCGTAGGTCGGCCCGCCGGAAAATCACCTTGTTTCCATGTAAATGTCCCCGCTCCTCAAACTTTAAGTGGGGAGAGAACACTGCTGTGTGTTCAGAGGAAATTTAAGGCAATCAAGTTGGAAACTGTTTCCACCGAAGGCCGAAAGGCAGACCGGGCAGAGGCGCGCGGTGACCGCAGCCTGCGTGTGTGTCGGGCGCAGGCCGCGCCTCGGGACCGCCTGCTCCTCTGCACCCGTGGGTTTGCCGTGGCTCTCCTCGCTGTCTGTAGCTCACACGTGTGCCTGTCACACGTGCCCATACGTGCGTGTGTGACGCCGACGCCCTGCGTGCACGTTGTGTGGTGTGTGTTTGCCTCGACTTGCTGGCGTTATTCTGGCCCATGGTGAGCCGGGCCGCGTCTTGACGCCGCTGTACGCCCCGCGCATGGGAGCCGGTGGTCTGGACCCGCTGGTTCCCGGGCCCTTGTCTGGCTCCTTTGGTCCGAGAGCCGCGGTGACGTTTTCCATGTGCCAATGCTCAAGGCCATGAGCGATTGCCCGGGTGCTGAGGAACGTCAGAATTAAGACGGATGACCAGACTGAGAGGAAGCGAGTTGGCCTGTCTCTTTAATTAAGGCAAATTGAAGAAAAGACCTCGTGAACGTCAAGGCAAGGTCGGAAGACGGCATCAGCAGGCCATCCTGGCCGATCGCACAGCAATCGGTGTTTCAGCCCCTGGGGCCTGCGCAGTGGTCTCCACTGGTGGTGTGAGCAGGGCCCCGCGGCTGCAGCCCTCAGCTGTCACGCAGCCTGGGGCAGGGTGGGGAGGAGGGCACCCGGGGGAACCTGGCTGCACAGTGTCTCCTGGCCTCCAGCCTCGGACCTGATGGGACAGCCCAAGGACCGCTTCTTCCTGCGTCAGGGCTTCTGTCCGAGGCCAGGGCCTTCCTGGGGCTAGAGGAGCCCCGGCTTCACCACATCATGTTTCTCCCCACGCGGTGGGCTGTCTGGTGGGAGGCAGCGGGGTCCGCAGATGGGAGTTGGTGTCCTGGTGTGGCCAAGGTCCCCTGAACTCAGGACCCAGCCTCCCCATCTGCGTGGTGGATGCAGGAACAGCCCCTGCCTGGGGTGGGCACTGGGTGCGCTGGCCCCATGTCCCGCTGGCCCGCAGGGGAGTGCTCTGCTCCCTCCTGGCCTCAGGCTTGTGAGCGGATGGGAGAGTCTGTGGCCTCAACCACCCTCAAACCCAGGTGGGGGGGGTCCACCCGGGGTGCAGTGTCCTGCTCCCTCAGTCCCTGCTCTGGGGGGCTTCCCGGTGCAGAGTGGTGGGTCCAGGGGCTCCCCATGTCCCGCTGGCCCGCAGGGGAGTGCTCTGCTCCCTCCTGGCCTCAGGCTTGTGAGCGGATGGGAGAGTCTGTGGCCTCAACCACCCTCAGACCCAGGTGGGGGGGGTCCACCCGGGGTGCAGTGTCCTGCTCCCTCAGTCCCTGCTCTGGGGGGCTTCCCGGTGCAGAGTGGTGGGTCCAGGGGCCTCGAGCCCCCCTCCCAGTGGGAATCTGGTGCACACACCTTACTGGTGACAGCCACCTCGTTGGCCAGGCCAACCAGCTCTCTCCTCACCTCCACTTCCGCGAGAGTTTGGAACGGTAACAGGAGACGCTGAGATGCTCTCAGGAAACCACCCACAGTTCCCTGCACTCCCTCCCACCCGCTCATAGCCTGGCCTCCACTGCAGCTGTGGTGGGCTCCCCTCCCCACCCCCGAGGAAAAGGGGGGCAGAGAGGGGCATGGCTCTCGGGAGTTGGGCACCCGTGCAGACAGATGCCTTGGTCACACTTTCTCCGTAGATTTGCTCTGAGCTGAGGGGGCTTCCCTGTGGCTCAGCTGGTAAAAGAGTCCGCCTGCAATACAGGAGATCCTGGGTTGATTCCTCGGTTGGGAAGATCCCCTGGAGGAGGGAGAGGCTACCCACTCCAGTATTCTGGCTGGAGAATTCTGGGTCACAAAGAGTCGGGCAGCACTGAGCGACTTGCTTTCACTGAGTTGGCTGCACGCTGGTGCAGGCCTGACCCCCCATGCTGAGCTGGGAGTTCCTGACGGCGCCAGGTCACTGGTGTTTCAGGACATGCCTGCGGTGGGGTCCATGGTCAGAGGGCATCCGCCCTGTAAGCGTGACCCACCTCAGATGCTGGGCATCCAGGCTGCCCGGCAACATGCCCTGCAGGACTCGCAATGTGGATGGGTGGCTGGCTGGAGTGCTGTTGGGTCCGTTCTGGGTTTGTTGTCTAGAGGCAGAGCTGCCATCAGAACCTGCAAGTGGGTTTTTCACCTGAACACGAGTCTCCTCTTCTCAGGTGAGTTTTTAAGGGCGGGCTGGCCGGTTCTCAGGGAAGCCTCGTCAGCGTGTGGAGCCGCCAGAGCCCTCCCGCGTGGCTGTCCACCGGCCCACCTGCCTGAACCCTTGCTCGGAAGCTCTCACATGAGGCTCGGAATTTCCTGAGGAGACGGCCCCCCTGGCTTATTCTGGTGCCAGTTTCAGGCCAAGGACTGGGCCTTCTGGGGCCCCTCCCTCAGCCTTGCCAAAGGGCTGCCCGGCAGGTCCAGCCTCAGGGTCCCGAGAGCTTCAGCAGCCTGGGCCACGAGGATGTTGTGTTCCCTGTGGCTATCGGCCACGGCTCCTGAAATAGTCCTGAGAGGGTCTGGGAAGCCGGCCCAGCTCACCAGGACTGCTTCCTTGGGCTCGAAGGCGGGTGGTCTGTGTGGGGCTCGGGTGGGCAGCATCCCGGCTTGCTGCCTCTTCTCAAGCTCCTTGGAGCCTGCCTGGCTTCCTCCCGGCCAGGGGTGCTGCCGAGGCCTGCGGGTTTCCCGGCTTCCAGAGTCCTGCGGACATCGTGGCTCCTGGCTACCCACCACCCCTCCCGTGGGCTCTTGTCTCGGTTTTGGCTCTCCATCCGAGCATGACACTTTGAGGTCCGCTGGTCCCGGTGGCTCTGCGTCCCCTCCGCCTGCCTATAGTGGGCGCCCCTCTCCTGCGGGTGCTTGTCACGGCGTGGCCCTGTGGTCTCCGCCAGCTCAGATTCTACCGCCCTCCCGGGCTCTGTGTACTGACGGGCCTCAGCACTCGGGGGTGTAGCCTTGAGCCCAGCGCGTGTCCCACCAGCCTGCTGGCGTGGGGGACACCCGGCGTCCTAGCCCTTTGCTCTCAGCCGGCCCCTTGCCCCTCTTGTGCCCGCCGGCATAACTGGCTTCTTAGGGCCTTGCTGCCTGCGGGTGTGTCCACTGCGGGCCCCTGTGGGGGCCGAGGGCCCGGGTGAGGCAGGTCCCCGTCCAGCTACACGGTGGCAGAGTGCGGGGGATGCGGCCCTGCACCTATCGGGCGGGCCGGGCCGGGCCCTGGGGCTGTGGAGGCAGCGGGGCGGGCGGGGTGGTGCTCACCTGCAGGTCGGCCCCTGCAGGCTCCGCCTGAGTGGGTTAACGCCCGCAGTTGCCTTCCTATGGGTCTCTGCTCCTCTGCCCAGGGGGCAGTGCGCTGCGTTAGTGAGGCGACTGGGGGTCAGAGACTGCACGTGGAGCCGGCTGCCTCCTGAGAGCCGCGAAGCGCCCTGTGGGTTCGGTGACCCGGGGCCGTGCGTGTGCGCTCCCTGCAGCGCCCGGTGTGTGCAGCGCCCGGGCGTGCAGCGCGCCTCCACGGCACACCCTGGGGGCCTGTCTTGTAAAGGCGGGATTTGCTGTGGCCTCCGAGGCCCCGAGGATCCTGGGCCAGGGAGTCCACACAGCTCGGCTTCTGAAAGAAACCCCTGGACGGGACGCGTGAGCGGCGGGGCCTCTTCGGAAGTCGGCGCCGCGCGCTAGTAAGCTGCTACCTGCGTGCTAGTAAGCCGCTACCTGCGTGCTAGTAAGCCGCTACCTGCGTGCAGGGTGGAGGGCCGCGGCGGCCACCGGAGGGCGCCCCACGAACACGCCCGCTCCGCGCCCGCGGTCACTGAGCCGCTTGTCAGCCCGCTTGGAATCCGAATCCCCATCGGCTTCCTGCCTGGTGACTCTCGGGGTGGCGGGGGCGGGCGGTTTGGCCGTGACCCTCCCTCTGCCACCCGTGGAACAGCTGGGAAGCCCACACGCAGGAAGGGAGTGCCTGGTCCTGTGTCCCGCACAAGCGGTGTTGACGGAGGGCACAGCCGTGTGAGCAGCCCCCCGCCCCCCGGAGCCCTGCCCCCCTCGGCTGTGTGGGACCCACCCACCAGCAGGCCCGTGGACACACGTGGGCCCTCGGACAGCTCGGGGCTTATCCGCGTCGGAATTAAGACCCGCATGGTGCAGGGTCAGCCCTGCCAGCATGGAGGAGCTGCGGAGTAACCAAAAACGCCGGAGCTTGTTCACCTCGTGAGGGGAAAGACTTGTTTTGTGATACGTCTGTGTGCTGTTTAGCTGACATGTCGCATATCCCAGGAAACACACACATTAGAATCCAGAAATTGGCTAATAAGTATCAAGTAATTTAATCTTCAAACGTGTGGGTTTTCTTCCCCAGTTTCTCAGACACACCTGCAGCAACTCCAGCCATCTGGGCAGATGTAATGGGTTAGAAACGAGAGGCCCCCACATTTCCCGACTGATTTTAACTACAAGAACTTGATGTGTAATTTAGCATCTTAGTGACTTATTCCTGGTTTGTCCTTTGTCAGGTCCTTTATATAAAGAAACAAATGTTTGACTTTTTTTAATTTTTAAAAAAATTATGTTAGTCTTGGCTGTGCTGGGCCTTCGCTGCCGCACACACGTTTTTCCCTAGTGTTGGTGAGCAGGCTGCTCCCCGGTTGTGGCACACGGGCCCCTCGTCGTGGGGGCTACTCTTGTTGCAGAGCACGGGCTGCAGGCACACAGGCTTCAGTAGGCCTAGCGCGAGGGCTCAGGAATTCCGGCTTGCCAGTTCCAGAGCAGGTGCTCAGTAGTTGTGGCCATGGACCCAGGGGCTCCGCAGCACGTGGGATCTTCCCGGACCAGGGATCGAACCCGTGTCCCCTGCATTGCCAGGAGGCTTCCTACCCACTGCGCTACCAGGGAAGTCCTGACTTCTTGATAACATCTGCCACAATTAGCAAAAGACCTAGTTTCTTAGAGTAAGTTTTATAACCTTCATGAAATAAACCCAAGGTTAAATTCAGCTTTGGGGATCCTGAGTCATGAAGCATGGTAACGTCGGTGAGTTTGTCTGTTGACAGAAATAAGGTCATTAAAGCCGGTCAAGGGCTTCGCTGGTGGTCCAGTGGTTAAGACTCCATGCTTCCAATGCAGGCGTTGTGGGTTCGATCCCTGGTCAGAAGCTAAGATCCCACATGCCACACAGTCAAAATATATACATACTAATGGAGGTTTTTTTTTTTTTTAAAGAAAAAGGACAGAGTGCACAGTCTGCCCCCTACATTTTCCAAATAGCTCCTCATTCTCTTCTAAATGCCTCAAGTCTATATACGGCCATACAATCCCAAACCTGCCTGATCTCATTGAAATGGTTCAAAATTCATTCAATTTTTTAGCAACCGTGGCAGGAGTACTAGGAATCAAACATACTGGGGCAGCAAGAAGTGACCCAGAATTCAGCATGAGATTGTCAAGCCAACGTCCATGGAAAGTAGATTGTTGAGATGCTAGTGGCTGAGGCGAAGCTGGGCTTGCTCCTCTAGTTGGGGGGCATAGGGGGCTTCAGAACGCAGCAGCAGCAGGAGTGGAGGGGTCTGTACCGAGACCCCGGCTCATCATCTGTCAGAAGTAGAGGTGGACACAGGACAGAAACGTGTGGCTGCTACCGTGTGACACCCTCCCCCCTGGAGACCAGTCAGCTTGCAACCAGAGCCACTGAGAAACTGAAGTAAGTGATTTTAGGCCCCCTGCGCTGTGTGGGGGAAACCAGATGGGCTGAGGGGTGGGGGTGGGGCTGCAGGCAGATCTGGGCCCTTGGGGCTCACCCTCTCCAAGGAACCCCTGGTACGGGAGCACAGCCGCTTCTCAACGGGCTCCTGCTCCCCCTAGGTGGCACTGGCTCTGGGACCCTGAGGAGGGCACCCAGCCCCCCTCAGCACGGCTGCTGCTGTCTCGGGGTCCCCATGGGGGGACGTGCTGGGAGAGCGGGAGGCATCCGCCTGAGGCCCTGGAATTTAAGGAGAGCTCCTACCAGGCCCTGGGACCGTGGAGCAGCCAGCCGGCATCTGTGCTCGTCACCGCCAGGAGCGCCCAGAGACCTCACCAGTTCCTGCTGCTCTGTCCCCCAAGGCTTACTGCAGCCTGAGTCCAGCGTGTGTCCGTAGTTCTGCATAGGCCTCCAGCCTGGAAGGAAATCAGTCTGCAGGTAGAAAAGCATGCACCTCACTCTCTTGGCTCGACTTCCCAAGAGAAGGGGGCCACTGGGGCAGTTTTCCCAACAGACCCGCCGAGAACAGCAGCCTGGCCCTGGGCAGCGTGTGTTTATGGCAGCAGCCGGGCGGGGGTGGCGCCCAGCATCCCATTCATATTTCATCTGAAAGGTGTCCTACCCAGACTGCAGCCTTGAGAAACATACCTTTGCTTTTAGGGTGTTTTGGGTTCAGAACAGCGTTGGGTTGGGGGGCTGTGATTTCTTCGTGAAGACGTGAGGAGGGGAGGGGAGGCGCCACCACGCCCCTACAGCTGACACAGAAGGCAGGGTGCGGGAGAGGGCGAGGGGTGGTGGGCGGGCTCGGCACCCCAGGCTGGTTGGGTTGTCTAGACTGCATCTTCCGCCTGTCCGGGGCCCTGCAGCCCCGTGAGCCCGCCCGCGCAGATCCATCTTTCCTGTGGGCAGGCCCCTGTTTTCAGGGTTAGAAATCCTAACAGCGTTTTCCTCCCTTCACCTTATTGACACTCACCTTTGGTGCACACTTTGGGGAGTCGTTCAGGACAGACTCTCCCTGGACCAGTGCCGGCAGGGGCACACCTGGCAGCCGCAGACGCCCCATCCGACCCCTCCCGCCAGGCCCACGCACCCCAGGAAGCCTGCAGTCCTGGTTTGCCCTGCGGCCGCGAGGCCCGCCACCCGAGTGTGTTGGAGTTTCCTTCATTTTAATACCTTCTGACTTTCCTATCAAACGTCTCTTCATAAAACAAGGGGGGGGGGGGGCTAGTATTTTAACAGTACAAAGTATAAATACTGGCGTTAGGTTTTCATTACTTCATTTGCGCCTGAGGGGAAGCAGGCTGCTGCGGGCGCGGACCTGAAAGTTGTGTGCAGGAGACGAGCACACCCAAGGGCGGCCGGGCACCGAGGACACAGCCCATCCTCACACAGGGCGCCTGGGGAGCTCCATGGGGCTGCGCCTGGTTCTGTCTCCAGGGGCCGAGGGAGCAGGGGCTGGAGTCAGCGTCGTCTCCTGGACGCCTGACCTGGGAGGAGGAAGCGAGCCTCGGGCACAGGGGACCGATCACCGCGGGCTGTGCTTCCGGCCAGTGCGGCCCGCCCCGCCCCCGGCAGTGTCCCTGGAGCAGCGTCTGTGCCGTCACTGGCTGTGCCCCCGCTGGGTCTATGCCGTCACCGGCTGTGCCCCCGTTTGGTCCGGGGAGCAGCTCTGGTGCCCACGGCGCAGCTTCTTCATCAGTCTCCGGAGCTTGCCGGGGAAGTTTCTGTCCAGGTGGCGGTACAAAAGCGGCACCACAGCGCTGCTGGCGAAGGCCAGGAACCTGGACAGGTCCTTGGCAAGGAGCAGCGTCCCCACATGGTGCCCATCCACTGGCTTTCCCCGCGCTGCCAAAACCGTGCGCCCCAGGAGCGTCAGGTAGTGGGGCGTCCAGAGCCCAAACTGCGTGCACACGGTGGCCACCAGCAGCCTGTGCGCCGAGGGGTCCGGGTGGCCCGCGTCCTGGTCGAGCGGTGTGTCCTCCTTGCGGACCCGCGCCAGGAGCACGAGCGCGTAGAGCGTGGCCAGGCCGGGCACCAGGTAGCCGACGAGCAACATGATGGCGTCGGCCGCCGCCGCGTCCCGCATCCGCGAGCACTCCACCAGCCTCGCGGCCACGTGGCTGCAGATGTAGAAGAGCAGGGAGGAGAAGCCGGCGAGCAGGGCGCCGCCCCAGACGAAGCCGCACACGTGCCGGGTGTTGTAGACACTGGACATATAGGTGCGTGGCAGCGCGCGCTCGATATAGCAGTCCAGGCCCAGCAGTGCCGTGGAGTAGAGCGTCACCAGCGCCGCCACATTGAACAGCACCAGCAGCGAGACGTGCACCTCGCTGCCCAGGTCCCAGGCGGCCCCGCCGGTCGTGCCGGGGCCCAGTAGGTGCGCGGGCGCCAGGGCGCAGAGCAGCAGCCCCGCCGCCGCCATGTTGGCGAAGTAGACGTCGGGCATGGTCATGCCGCCCGGGTCGTGCAGGTTGGCCAGCAGCAGCAGCGCGTTGTAGCCCAGGCCGAGGGGGACGCCACCCAGCAGGTAGAGCAGCGACAGTGCGGACAGCGCCCGCTGGACGTGCAGGCAGGGCAGCGGGTCGTCGCCGCCGGTGCCGTTGAGCGGGCAGCTCCACATGGCGGGCTGTGGGGAGAGCAGCGCGTGAGTCCTTCGCGAGCACAGAGCGGCCCCCGCCCCAGAGGCCGGCTGGAAACGGGGCTGCGCATGTTTTCTGCGACTGAAGGCGCCTTCGCTGGAAGCTGTGACGGCCCTAAAAGCCAAGTGGGCTTCCTTGACCCTGTTTGCCGGGAAACCCACAGCCCTGGAGCCGTAAGGCGTCTGCTGCCACCTTGTGGCGCCTGGGCCACGTGAAAAAGGCCGGGGGGGGGGGGGGGGGGGGGTGGCTGGGTGTGGACCCCAGGCCTGGCCCCGCAGCCCTCCTCGCGGGATCCTCAGCCTCTTTGAGGCTGCGGCAGCCCTGCTGGGCGCATCCTTCCTTGCTTTCAGTGACTGCCGAATCCTGTGACCCCACCCCTCCCCACCCTGCGTCTGTGCCCAGCAACCCGCCTCCCTCGCGCCGCTTGGGCAGCACTGGTATGCCGCGCCAGAGCACCGGCACCCCTGTCTTGAAGCCCAGCTGCCGCTGGAGCCCTGGGGAGGGGCCGGAGGTGGTCTGCACGTGCACCTGGTGCAAGGCGGGTGGGAAGGGCGTCCTTCCCGTTTCCTCCCTCCCAGCCTGGAGGGGTCGGGGCGGGCGTGCGCTGAGGTCTGGGTGGGCCTTGGCCGGCGGAGGCGCCTTGGTGGTAAGGGAAGAATAGACATTCTTGAGATATACGTGAGTCCTGGGGCGGGGGCGGGGGAGGGGTCCTCCACTCCACGTCTTCTGAGCCCACCGGGCTTCCTGCTCTCAGAGCGAGGCCAGCAACCCTCTGGGGAAGACCCTGGCCTCCCAGGTCCAGGGTGCCGGCAGGAGCCCCAAGCAGGGCCGGGCCTGAGGGGTCCTCGGAGCCCTCGTCCATCCTCTTCTAGCTGATCCGCTGCTCGTTTCCCTCCTGAATGCCGGCAGGCTCCTGCGCGCTGAGCTGAGGCCTGGGTGGTGCTGGGCCGGGATGCTGGTCCATAGAGCATCCTGTCCGTGCCTGACCAGCCCGCCCCCCGCGCGCAGGCGCCTGGCCCAGCTCCCGGGCCTCAGTCCCTCCCCTCCTGCCTCGCTGGGATCCTGTTTCCCCGTGCGGAGTGCTCCTCGGCGAGGGGTGGGTGTGCGCGCGTCCGCCTCCTGGTTCCCGCGGTGCCCCTCCTCCCTAGGCAGGTGCAGCTGTGCCTCCTGTCTGTTTACAGGCAGTTTGGAACCTTGAGGGTTGTATAGGGAAGGGCCGGCACACGGGATGGGCACCCTGCCCACAGGCTCCCCTGTGGCCCGGCGGGGGTCTCCTGCTGCGCCTGCCCCTCCTGGTGGTTTCCATCCACCTGGAAGGCAGGCTCGGCCAGGGGAGGCCCTCTGTGATGTTGGGTGGGCACTGGAGGGCCCACAGGCCTGGGGGCAGAGTGAGGGAGGCAGGGGTCGCGCTGGGGGGCCCTGCCCTGCTGGAGATCCGCGCGGTTCTTGGGAGGTGGTCACACGGAGCAAATCTGCTCAGAACTTTTTTCAAGAGCTCACATGCTTAAATGGCCAGCTTGCTTGGCCTGAGAGGGACTGTGGTGTCTCTGTGGTCAGTGCTGGGTTTTAAATTAAAAACCCACCTGAGTTGCTGTTTTCTGGCAGCTCATACACACAGAACCTGGAACTTATGCCCACAAACTACAGACAGCTCTGCGTATCCTGTCGGCATCCACCTTGGGGACACGGCTGACTTCAGAGGCAGCTCACGAGCTACGAGTGCCAGTTTCCTTTGCTTTCAGCCTATCTTCGCTTTTTGTCCCCGGATTCTTCCCGGAGACCCCTTGTCTCCAGGTGTCACACAGGGCCAGGGTGGGGACGCCTGTCGGGGGTGCCTGGCGTTTTTCCCCTCACCGCGTGGGGGCGCGGGTGAGAAGGGCAGGAGGCAGACTGCCAACGCAGGGGCGAGGCACCGAGACGCTTACTGGGAGGGTGGTGCCCACAGGCTCTCGGGGACCCGGAACAGCAGCTGCGCCCCAGCACCCCCAGACTTGCCGTCAGCAGCTGTCACTTTGGGAGTGTCTGCCCACCCCAGCTGTGGGGCAGCTGGCCAAAGCGCAAGGCCTCTGACTGGCGTCCCTCCGTGTCCAGGGTCCCTGTGCTGCCCCTGCGGATCCCCGCCCCCGCCTCCCGAGTCACCCCACTTCCCTTTGTGCTCTGGCTCTGCGCTTGCTGGAGTCTGGGAACAGGCTCCCCTCCCCCGAGGCCCTGTGAGGAGGGGGCCTGAGAACAATGGTGGCCCCCGCCCACCACACTGGCTTGGGCTGGGCTGGGCTGTCTTTCCAGTTACCAGCTCTCTGTTCACTTCCTTCCTGAGAAAGGGGAAGTTGGACGGCAGCCAGAGACCAAGATTCCAGGCAGGGCTCTCTGTGGTCCTGGCTCCCCCCAGGGGCGGGAGGCAAGGCCAGGTGGGCCCTCAGCGGCCGAGCCCTACCCCCAGCCTTGCTGGCGCCATGGGCCCTCGCTGTCCCCGCATGGCAGGGCTGACAACACCACCTGGGCCGCCTGTCACCCGCTGCAGCTCTGACCAGCTCCGGGGGGCAGGCGGGGCCAGGAGCCCCACGGCCTTGTCCAGGCTAACCCTAACCCTATCACCCTGCCCCAGAGCCATCCTGACAACACGGGTCAGAGCTGCCCACTGCCGCGCGGGCTTCCCAGCTCCCCTCCTGCCCCTCCCACCAGCACCCCCGCCCACTGCCCACCCAGCGGCCTGTCCACACCTTTGCAGACCTGCCTGCAGGTGCCCCGGCCGGCCTGGCCACCTTCCTCCCGTGCATGGTGGGGCCTCCCTGGGCAGCGGCCCCACCAGCCGCGTCCGTGCAAGATGCTGTCCACGGCCCCTTCATCCGACAGGGCATCAGGGGCCCTGCCCCAGGGCCCTCCAGGACTCCCATGTTGCCAGCCTGGCCAGGGCCTGATTCTGCCCAGAACCCCTGCCTCTGCCGGGCCGGGCCCGCGCCTCCCCCAGGCCTTCTGCCCCCTCTGCCAGGTCCAGGGGACATACAGGTGTGCGCGTCTGGTGGGAGTCATCCCCTCATCCTCGGACCCCCACCCGTGGGCGTCCCTCTTCTGTGGCGGGCGTGCCCAGCCAGGCCTGTGGCCAGCCTTTGTCCATGGAGCAGGGGCGCGCCTGCCTGGTGCGTGCAGGCGTGTGGCGTGGTGTCACAGCGAGGCCAGCAGTGGGACTGCCCGGCCCTGGCGCCGCGCAGCCCGAGGGGAGGGCTGGTGGGCTCCGGCAGCCTGGCTCACTCCCTGGTCGTCGTCGTGGCCCGGCAGTCACCGTGCCCCGTCTCTCCCGACGGGGTGAACGTGACTGAAGGTGACTTGCATCCCCACACTGAGTGTCTATCTGTCGTCTCTGATTGCGTTCCTGGGGCAGTGGCCCTGCCTGGCCCCAGGGACTGCCACGCGCCCGCCTTCCAGCTGGTCTCGTTCCAGGGAGTGGAGAGGTCTTCACAGCCTTGGGCCAGGGCGGTTACCGCCTGGGCCCAGCAGTGGACTGGAGAAGGGAGAGCAGCCGGCCTGGCAGAGCAGAGGGTGCCCCGCCTGGGGAGGGCACCTGACCCTCAGGCGGACCCTGACGTGAGCACAGGGTGGCAGCGCTGCTGTGGCATCGGGGAGGTGGCCCCTGCTCTGCTCTGGGCCTGAGCACGAGCTCCCGGCATGGGACGTGTCGTCCTCGGTGCCTGGGCGGGTGCCGGCCGTGCTGACCCGAGCCAGCGTGCTGGGCAGACCAGGCCTCGCAGCACTCGAGGGGACACTGGGCTGGGGGCGCGTGTCTAAGCCCCACTGCACTGAGGGCTGCCTGCCTCTTACACTCTTGTCCTCTGGGGAAGCAGCTCGATCGCGCCCCCTGGACCGACTCAGACCTCCCCTGGGAGGGGCGCACGCTGCCTGGTGGGGGCTCCCGGGCGCCCTGCCCGCAGCTGCCTGGCTTGGGTCCCCAGTCAGGCTGTGGGGAGGATAGGGTGAGGGGGTGAGGCCGTGAGCACAGCCCTCCCTGGTGCTGGGTGTGGAACAGCGGGTCCTCACCTCCCACACATTTACGCTGCCGTGCGGCCTCCCTCAGACTGCCAGCTGCCGCGCGGGGAGAGGAGATGGGGGAGGGAGGGCGGAGTGCGTGGGGGGACACAGGCCAAGGGCAGATTCCCACGGGGGTGGGGAGGGGGCCCTGCCACAGCTCAGCGGCCTGGGGCCCCAGGGCTGCTGTAGGAACAGGCAGCTCGTCTCTGGAGCCGCGCTTGCTGAGGTGGAGTCCCAGCCCCACGGGGTCCGGGTCCTCCCCGATGGCGCCCTGCTTACTGACACCCCTTCTTTCATTCCCTGCCGGCAAGGACCGCGCGCCTGGGTTAGCTGCTGGAAGCATTTTGAGGCCAGATGTCAGCATCTTTTCTTCTTGGTCTTTTTTTTTTTAAAAGAGCCTAGAACTGTATAAACTAACCCTTGAAAAGTGAATGTCCACAGGCAATGAAAAGCCTTGCCCAAACGCAGGGCTACAGTGCATGGTGATCTCCATGGAAAGAGGGGTGCCAGAAGCGCAGCAGAGCAGTGGCGGGCGGGGGCCGTGAGGGGCGGGGGCGCCCCAGCGACCCTGTGGCACACAGCCTGCCAGACTGAAGCACAGCTAACTCCCATCCAAGGTCGCCGACCTCATCCTACTGCACCTCTGTTCCCGCCTGCCCAGAGCACCCCAGAGAGGGAGCTCCGTGACCGGTGTCCCGCAGCCTGCGAAATGGCCTCAAAGGGCCTTTCCCCAAGGCAAGCTCGAGGACCCACCGGCAGAAGGGCGGGCAGAGCAGAGGCTGGGAGGTGGGCGCAGGGCCCCGAGGCCAGGGCAGTGTGTCCTGGTGGGCGCCGGCCCGGCCCGCCTGCCGCTGTCCTGGAGACCCGCCGTGTACTGTGCCTGGACTTCGGCCGAGCGCTCTGGAGCCATCAGAACGCGTTGAAAGTGACTCCTCAGTGTCTGTTCCCTTTGCGATAA